TTCAACAGAGCTATGGCTCTGGGTGAGTTTGGCAACTGTATTAAAAATTATCAAGGATTATTCTTATTCTCCTCTATTAATGAAGAGAAATATACTGCTCTTGCTGTACGAAGGCAGTAAACTATTTTTCCAGACTAGGTAGGATTCCCATAAGCCTGTGGATTGCAGATTTTCTTTTCAAAGAAAAACAGTACTCATCATTTTTCAAAGATGTGTACTTTCTAAGGCAGTACACAGAGATCTAGCAACCCCATCAACAAAATCATCCACCCATGAAGGGGAATAAGCTAAACTTCTGCCCTCTGCAGTACTGCTTAGCAACACAGAGGAGAGAAAAGGTGAAACAGATTCTTTGAAATTTAAAACTGCACTATCTGATAGTGATCTGCTAAAGTGAAACCTTTTGGTGGAGGAGAACTCTGTTAAAGTAGTCTTGAAGGTTATTAAAAATTGGTCAAAGGACAGGATTGTGAGGAAATATTGTTATTTCTTCACATCCTAGCCATATGTCAGCACAAGGTCCAAAATGTGAAGATGAGAATGTGTGGGACTATTCACAATTTGCACAAAGCAAATAGCATCTAAAATAGCATTAAAGGCTGTACTTAAGCTATCACCTTCGATGCCAGCATGGATGTTAAAATCTCCCTCTATGATGACACTGTCAGTATTTAACACCAAATCAGATTGGAACTCTGAAAACTAATCCAAAAATTCAGAGTAAGGACCTGTTGGAAGGTTACAAAAAGAAGAGGTTTTCTTGCTTTGTAATTTGGAGATGGGAAACTAAGCGTTAAATGTTCAAAAGAGTTGTAGTTATTAACTGCCTTTGGAGTAATCAGTAAGTCAAACTGAAATATTGTTGCTACTCCTCCTCCAGAATTTTTGGGTATGTGAAAATTTAAATAACTAAAATTAGTTGCTTCATTTATGCTCACATAGTTCTCTTGCTGCAGCCAAGTTTCTGTAAAGCAATATAAATCAAGATGATTATCACAAATCAAGTCATTAACTAGCAGACTTTTTGAAGAAAGGGATGTTACTTATGTTAATAAACCAAATTTAATCGTTTAAACTTTTTCCCCAGTTGGAGTTATTTAAATTTTAATTAGATTATCATGATTTACTCCTTTGGGAATCTTTTCTAATTTTATTAGATTTTGGTCGTGGGCAAGACACAGTCTGGATAGAGTAATGAGAGGGTAACAGTAGAGAAACTGCAGAGAGGTGTGTTACACTACGACTCTGCTTCCTGGTCTGCACCCTGGGTTGTCAGCGTTTTGCAGGACTAATAAATTTGGCCAGATTTCTAGAAAGAAGAGCTGCACGATCAGGAGACGAGACAGACACAAAACCCTCTTTCCACTGGCTGCCAGGATCCAGGACATAAAACATGGAGTTAACTGAAAACACTGAACAGACAAACTACCGTATTTTCACGACCATAAGGCGCACCGGACTAAAAGGCGCAGTCTCAGTTATGTGTCCCATTTCTGTATTTAACACACACATAAGGCGCACCGGACTATAGGGCGCGTTTTTTATATACAGGTACATGTCCTCTACTACCTTTAAAAACCTCTACTGCGTATTTAAAAATACAGCGGGGGCAAAACTGAGTATGATTGTGCTTTATTCATGTATTTATTACAAAGTATTAATCAAACCTGGCAGCTGGCCGTGAGACAGACACATCGCAGATGACACAGCGCTGTGATCACTCCTAAATTAACTTAAAATCCTGAAACCTGCCGACGGAATATGTTCGCTTTTATTGCCGGTATCCTAGTGCCTGCAGTTTAAATTATTTAGATGAAAAACACCTGTCAGCCACCGCGGTGAACCCCAGGCGACCCGGCCTAGAGGCTGCTGATGAAAGGATTTCTCCTGTCGGTGCACCGCTGGTATGTGGGGGTCTGAGCGCCTCCGACAGAAATAGATATTCTGGATGAACTGACTGCAATTATTAAGTTTTCAGGTGGACTTTCTCACTTAAAAACATATTAAAACTACTTTATTCCCACTGATCACAGCAAATATAGCTGCAAGATTTAGATTATTTAGATGAAAAAACACCTGCCAGCCACCGCGGTGAAGAGGAGGAGACACGGCCCAGAGGCTGCTGTTGAATTAAGTTTTCAGGTAGAAAAATAGAGCGGGAGCAAAACTGAGTATGATTGTGCTTTATTCATGTATTTATTACAAAGTATTAATCAAACCCATCAAAGTCATCATCCTCTGTTTCTGAATAAAACAGCTGCGCTAAATCAGACATGCCAGTTTCCCCTTCTTCTTCGCTGTCAGAGTCACTTTCCGTGCAGCGCGGCTCCTCAGAAATAATGCCGGCTTTTGCGAAAGCTTGAACAACAGAGCCAGCAGACACGTTAGTCCATCTACAATCCATCCTCAAACGGTGGCGTAACTTGCCCGGCGCTGCCTTCCACTTATCCTGAAACTGTGGTCTCCGTCTGTCACACCGATGTCGAGCGGTTGAAGTTCCTTTGTCAGACCCCCCGGGATAACGGTGAGCACAGCGTTCATTTGATTCATCTTTTTTTCACATCGGCTGTGAGATGGGCACGCAGCGATGGTGATGCGTGGAAAAAACCACCTAGTCTTCTCACATACACCTGCCTCAACCACGCATCCACCCAGCCTTTTTCATTTGCGTTAATATCATATGTCATCAGAGCGCTGTGTCTGTCTGGCTGTCAGCTCCCAGATCAGCTTCTCTGATTGGTTGATGCGGCGCGTCCAGCAGCAAAACTTCAATTTTTCCATCTCGAGCAGCAGCAGCGCGTTGGCGGTGCATCAGATGCTTAAACGCTCCCGACGTGCTGCACCAAAACGCGCTGCAGGACCTTTTGCTGCAGCTATACGCGCGTCAACCATTGACTTTGCATGTAAACTCGCTGCTTCTGCTGCACCTGCTGGGTCCGGTTCACACCGATGTCGAGCGGTTGAACAGCGAGCACAGGGTTAATTTGTTTCCCCATGTTTTTCACATCAGCTGTGAGATGGGCACGCATGGAGTTACATATTAACAGCGATGGTGAGGGGTGGAAAAAAAAAACACCTGGTCTCCTTACATTCAGCCACTCTTTCATCATCTCCTCAATGAGGTGGTCTCAAAAGTCGCAGTTACAACACACATAAGGCGCACCGCACCATAGGGCGCACCGCACATTTTGAGGGAAAAAAAAGACGTTTAAGTGCGCCTTATAGTCGTGAAAATACGGTAACAGAAAACAAATAATGATCTGGCCACGATCCCTCGGGCTGAACCGAATATAAGGCAAAGGAAACAGATGAATAAAATAAATAATAATTACAGCAGGGAGGGAAACGGCAGGTGAATGAAACAAAGAATTAAGGTGGAGGAATCAGGCCGGATCATGACACCAAGAGGTAAATAAAACATTATTTGGTAACATAATATTTTATGAAATAACTTTCCTTAATCAGAAATAACTGTTTAGGTAATTGAATCCTAACTTTCTGTGATTCTTCACGAGGGAATGATTCAGGGAAAAGGCTACTTAGCTTCTTTAGCGATGTTTGGCTTTAAAGACAGTGGCAGTAGTAGCAAGCAGACATGAAGGGACTCCATTAAAAGGACTATTTGGTCTTGTTTTAGCATTCAGATGTAATGAGCATATCAGGAAACCCATCAACCAATTACTAACGTCAAATTAGTGTTTCATCCCCAATTAAAATTGTTCGTAAATAGGCAGTAAAAGGAAAACTGAATGAGACAAGATCTGCATGATCTGAGAATGATGGAGGAAGAAACACATATCTAATCACAAACACATATATCTAATCATGTATGATTAGATATATGTGTTTGGAAAAGATTTTGATTGTATTATGTCCCTGTTAGATTAGTGTAAGATTGATCGAAGAGGAGAGGAAGAAATTTGGGAGACTGATAGAAAGAAGATTGAATGAGAGTGGAGGAAAATAGGAACACTGATAAAAAGGTCAGTGGAAGAGAAGGAAGAAAAATCTACTTAGAAGACTAAAATAGAAAACAGGGATAAGTCAGCTACAAAGAAAAGGAGATGGAGATGTAAGAAAACAGAGAAGACTGAATGACTCAATGGCACTAATAAACACTATCGATTAGTTTCATTAATCATTTTATTAATCTTCGGAAGTAGGAGAGAGAGACATTCCGGGATTTTAAACTTGTTTTTATTGTTTAAGTATTAAAATATATTAAAAAAATGGATGAAAGCAGCACTGTCCCTATTTCCTATTTTAATTTTGATTTTTTGATTTTTTTATCTAAGAGCTGGAAATGTCCCCAGATTGGATTTCAGATATCTGGTCACCATAATGTGGTCGCCATCGGGTTCATGGCTTGCTTTAGGATACTCAACAGTGAAAAACATGAAAGATCAGAGATAATCAAAAAACTAAATTGTTTAGTTTGAATCTCTTTCCTTTGCCAGACTTGTAACCTCAGTTCTTTGTTCAGAAATCTGAGTTGTCTCCAAATATCTGCAAGGGATGTGCTTATTTGATTCTCTGTTTCTTTATGAACAGTGAAATAAATAGAAATGCAAAGTTAGGTGTCTGATTTTTAGTAAAATATGTTCATGCCAGAATTCCTCAACAGTTCATCATCCGGTACTCTGTTTAACCTCATTGTTTTGTACCAGTACTAGAACTGATTATTATCACGACAACTTGATTGACACCTTTAAAAATATTGACATTATAACTATAGAATGGATTTCACTTGGACTTTATTTTTCTACTTTCTGTTGGTCCATCTCCAAGTTTCCTAGTAAAATACATGAATGTTTGTTGATGTAACATAGAAACCTGGAGAAACATAAGGATATCAGCCTCTGTAGTAAGGCACTGTCTTGTTGGCTTGTTGCCTGTCTAAACTTCTGTCGATTCGCTTACATGAAGGTGAACTCTCTACCAGCAGTGCTTTGTCTCAACTATCTAATTTTATCTTCTCCTGTTTTTTGTCTCTACCACAGTTTTTTGGCTTCTCATCATAATGAGATCACTGGCTCTGGGTCTCTTTTGCCTGTTTTGCTGTAATGCTGTGGAGCCAGAGAGACGTCGGCCCAAACTCATTACAGCCAAAGGACAAAATAACACCACAATCCAAAACAATACGATGGGTAGGTTACCTTGTTGTTAAAAAGCATGAAGTCCTGTAATGCCTAGGAAGTATATGCCATTTATGATTTGATAATGTTTCATGTTTTGGTGTATATAGGTTCATAACATTTACAACCAGCTTCTATCTAAGTTGCCCTTCATGCTGCTTTTTTCTTCATGATTAAACTGCATACACTTTTATCCACAACCAGCAGTTCCTCTGTAGAAGAGAGGACGGCGACGGTGATCTCACACACAATTTCCTAACATTTTGCAGCTTTCCTGAATGCTTAAACCCTAACGGTGATGTTATAGCACAATTTCAAAAACTTTTAACACTTATAGCAAAACCACTCACTGAGTTTACAAAACTCAGTTCACTCCTTTTGCAGAACTGTAAACTAAACTAACTGCTTTATACTCAATTTTTAAATGATCAACACACTCCTAGAAAAACTATACACATATACGGCTATTATTAACACTAATATGCCAACTGTCTGGCACACTGTCACATGTGAAAACTGTTTTAGATAGTTAGTGCACATTGCAATCAGTCTAAGCACTATAAATAAGCCATAGAATGGCTGTCTATGTGGAGCACAATGGAGGGAGCAAGAAGAGTGAGAATTAGAGGGGACAGAGGAAGAGGAGGTGGAGGTGAAGAAGTAAGAGGAAGAGCAGACCAGATACGTCATCATATGGGAAAATGTTAGTTTCCATAGGGCTGCTTTGGTCCGCAACCAGATCACCCACTCTTCACTGCACTCAACCTCCCCCCATACTCTCCATTCTTGAATCCGACTGAAGAATTCTTCTCTCCCTGGTGCTGGAAGGTCTATGACCGTCATCCCCATCAACTCACAGCCCTTTTACAAGCAATCCAGTAGGCATGTGGGGATATGGACCAGGCATCATGTCAGGCCTGGATATGACATTCAAACGAAGATATTTTTCCTGTACCTTGGACAAGAGGACATTGCATGTGTTGTGGATGAAGTCTTGTGGCCGGACCAAGAGAAACGACATGATGTGTTTTGACTTGGAAAAAAAACTTTTTAGTCTGTTTTGATGTGTGGAAATAAACACCAATACTTGGCCTTTGGATCCTTGTATGTTTTGGGTCCCTGTATGTTTATAGAACTATGACTAAAGTATGACCTTGAACTGATGTAGCCTGCCTTGTGCACAGAGAAAGCAAAATACAAGCCAGATGTGTTTTTTTATTTTTACCATCAGTGTGTAGTTCACACATTGTGTGCTTATTACTATGATGACTTGTGTTAATTACAAGGTTTATTAGCTTTTGCAAGAGAACTACAATGAACCCCAGTTGGCCTCTGCAGATGGCTGCTGGTTTTGCTGGAAGTTTTCTTCCTGTTAAAGGGGAGTTTTTCCTCTCCACTGTCGCTACAAACATGCTAAGAGTGAGGGATTGCCTTCGAGTCAATGAGTCAACGCAATCACTGGTTTTCCTTAGATAGAAAACTTTGAATCATTTTTAATGTATGATCCGGTGAACTGTGAAGTGCCCTGAGATGACATGTGGTTTGAATTGGCGCTATATAAAAAAACTGAATTGAATTGAATTTGTAAGTAGAGTTTTGCAAAAATAGCCAATAGTTACAAAAATTGTGCTTAAGCAATCAGAAAAAAACAAATTGTTTATATAGGATTTTAATCTAAAACCAACTAAAATAATATATCATAGTTATTTATTACCATCAATTGCACAAATCGCTCCAGCATACGGCTCAGCTCCCGATCTTGCTCGTTCATAGCCTTACTGAGGGCCTGAACCGCTGCAGACTGATCAATGCCCAAATTGCCATCGACATCTTCTGTAATTGAAGATACATCAGGTATCCTCCAAATCCAAACAAGAGAAATCTGAGTATTATAAGACTGAAAACCCACACATCTTCCCAGGAGTCCATGGTGTATCCCACAAAGTATGTCCAGGCAGGACAGGACGGGTCCCCTTTCCCCTGTCTTCCAGTTGAATAAATTTGATAAATTGCAGTGACAGACCAGCTGACCAGATCCATTTTTTTTTAGTTTAGGTGGTATGAAGAGAGAGCTCAGAAAAGACAAGACACATCAAAGCAGGGATAGGCAGGGAGGTACAGGAGCACAGGAAAATGCAACCGCCTCCTTCAAGAGTCAGAACAGACGGGATAGATAGATAAGTAGCACATCTATCTAATAAGATGGGCACAAATTATCAGGATTTGGCTGGATTATCTTATTTCATTACGATTGTTGTAAATTTATATTCGATGCCCATCCAGGTTAGACGCCATATTAATGTTATGAATAACTGTTATATTCATTTCCCAGACAGCTGTAAATTCATATTATGTTCTGATATTTTGAGTGGTTTATTGCCCTCCCCGGTAAGGGTGTTTGAAAACCAAAGTTTATCTGGAAGAATTTGGGATATGATCAAATGAGCTTTTCACTAATTTAGAACAAGTGAAATGTTTTCAGACCAATTCACAATAAGGTAAATAAAACATTATTTGGCCAAATAATGTTTTATTAAATGATGTGCTTAATCAGAAACCAATACCCTTTAGTTAAATGATTCTTTACCCTCTTTGAAATAGCTAGCAGCGAATAGACATCAGGCTTCCACTAAATGACTCTTGGTCATACTTGGTAATCAAAATGTAATGAGCATATGAGGAAAACATAAACCCCATTGTTTAAACCCTTAGTGAAATAAAACTTGTCCAAGCTTCAACAACAGCTAAAAACCATATTAATTTACCATAGCGGAACATGCAGTCTATCCTGTTAGCTTCGTCTTTACTCATCAGTAAACACATGAAATTATAAAAATCATCAAAATACATATTGTTTGTTCTGTCCCTAATTGTGCCAGACCTACAAACCTCTATTCATGTCCATTTGGAGGGCTTGAGTTTTCATCCAGTAGTAGTTTAGCAAGGGAGGCTCACAGCAACACAGGGTTTCTTGTCCATGTGGTTCACGGCAAGAGATCCTTAGGAGTCTTTCTCATCCAGTCTGGCTCTGTAAGTTCTGAAACTCAAGAGAAATGTGTTGCAAAAAGTTTGTTTTGCAGCAGTTTGGTTCTGAAAAGTCAGCCATCATTACTTATCCTTGGTCATTCTGGAGTTCTGGACCTTCTTGCCTGGATCTCAATGGTGGCTGGAGCTCCAAGGCAGGTTCATGGAAAAGAAAGCTTCATGGGAAACAGAAAGAGATCCTGTGTTTCATGGTTTTACTGTTCTCAGCTCTGTGTGGGAGGCAATACAAGTCACACCTCTGTGGGAGTACCTGTGGAGGCAGGAAAGGGGGTGGTGTAGAGGTCTCACTGGTCATCATGTCAAGATGAAATATGGAGACTGGTTCCCAATGTCCCAAACCACGATGGCATAACAAGATGTTTCCTATAAATTCGTACATTATTTTGGGTCTATATTAAACTGGGACAATAAGTCATTTGAATTATCTCTGTTGGAGCAGAGATGCATATAAAATCTGGGGCAGTAGATCTTGGGGACCAAGATTGAAGACCCCGATCTAAGGAGCCTAATCAGCTCATAAACCAGTAATCATCCTGGATTAGGAGACAATGGTAATCCCACAAGACGCTTTCCCTCCTGATCCTCCCATTTACTGGTTCCAGCATAGTCCCAGCTCCCATAGCGCACCATTACTCATTGTGTTAATGGTAATCTGTGTGAATTCCTCAACCCACATTACATTTAAGTATTTATTCATGGTAAGACTCACCCTGTTGATCACTGGAAAATGAATGTGATAGTTTTTAAACTTATTTTTCATATTTATATTTTTTGGCAGATTTTATACTTTCACATTTTATTTTATTTTTATTTCAGATTTAATATTAAGCTTATTTTATTATTTTTTTCTACAGTGTTTTCCAAATCCCATTCTTTCTAAATTACGTTTTACATATTCTCTTTACATCATGCTTTTCACTTAAAAGGAAAGCCCGCCCCCAGTAGTGAGGAGCAGAGACGTATTGCTATTGGTCTGCATGTATGTTAGAAACAACATTTTTATTGGTCAAAGTGGGCATCAACAGTGGGCATTTGCATTGGGCTGAAAGAGGAGAGACTGTGATCTGTAAAATGCAAACAATATATTTCATTAAATTTAGATTAGAAGATCAAAAAGGCATGTGTGTGTCTGCTAGGTGTGACATAAGCTGAACCTGTACTTCCTGTTTGCAGAGAATTCCTGTGAAACCATGCCGCTGGATTTCGTCTTTGTCATTGACAGCTCTAGGAGCATCCGACCAGAAGACTACGAGAAGGTCAAGACCTTCATCATTAATCTGCTTCAATTTCTTGATGTTGGCCACAATGCAACACGGGTGGGTCTTCTGCAGTATGGCAGTGTGGTTCAACCCGAGTTCTCCCTTAATACTTATTACTCCAAAGCTGAGGTTAAGGAGGCTGTGAGGAATATGAGTCATCTTGCTACAGGGACCATGACTGGCTTGGCCATCCAATACACCATGGAGGTGGCACTCACTGAAGAACAGGGAGCCAGACCTCTGAGCTTACAGATTCCACGGATCGCTATGATTGTAACGGATGGGAGACCTCAAGACACAGTAGAGGAGATTGCAGCTCAAGCAAAGCAGGCTGGCATCCAGATTTTTGCTATCGGAGTGGGAAGGGTGGAAATGAAAACTCTGAAGGCCATAGGCAGTGAGCCCCATTCTGAACATGTCCACCTGGTGGCCAATTTTAGTCAAATGGAAACCCTAATCTCAGTGTTCAAGTCCAAACTGTGTGGAGGTGATGAAACCTTTTTATTGTCATTACAGTGTTCCTCGTTATTCAGCAGGTATAGATGTGTTCTTGAATGTTTCTGGATGTTCCTGCATTAGGTTCAGACATGTGTAAGGTGGTGGACCATCAGTGCCAGCATATCTGTGTGAACAGTCCTGCCTCCTACAGGTGTAAGTGCAGGAAAGGCTTCACTCTCAACCCCGATGGAAAGACATGTAAAGGTAAACCTCTGAGCTCTTTCCCCAACAGGTAAACACTGCAGATCTTCCTATTCAATCTTAACTCAGGGTGACCTTCCTCCATGTTGTCTCTCTGCAGCCGTCGATACGTGTGCTGTGGTGGATCATGGCTGTGATCACATCTGTGTTAACGTGGCTGAAGGCTATGAGTGTCGCTGCCGTCCAGGATACGAACTCACCATAGACCTGAAGACATGCAACAGTAATATTTCCCTTTGCTTGAAGTCAACCCATGTTTTATCTATCTAAGCATCTTTAAACATCTTTCTTCCTGAAACTGGCTTAAATTATTTTCTGGGCTCTGTTGCGACTAAAGAACTTTCAGACTTTCATATGTTGCTCTGTGACCAAACCTTCAATTGGTTGTATGTTACAACAACAAATGAAAGGGCGATTCATGCAGATAATTATGCAAAATATGGAGCCTATTCATAACAACTAGATAGTATTGGTTAACAATTCAATTCAGTTTATTTATCTAATGTAGGCTGCGCTCTCATCAGGAACTTTCTAAATGTGGTAGGTTTGAGGAGCACGGCTTTTAATTCTACATGGCTAAAGTCTTCAGCCAACGTCAGGCGCCTCTGGATTTATATCCATTTGTCTAATATGTACGGTGGCCCTGAACTGCAAACTGCAACTACAAATCTAAAAGCGCAACTACATTAAGGAAATCGCAACTACATAAAGCAAAGCGCAACTACATTAAGGAAAACACAATTACATTAACCTACCGGAAAAGGTAGGTACCAGTGGGAAACATGAGACATCGCTGATTGGACGACGGCGCCGTTTGACCCTTGAACCGGAAATTGCGTCGTCTGAACAGTCCAGCTTCTTTTAAGTGTGTCTTCAGTGTACGCAAACTAACTGAAATTTCGTGATTAGTCTTGAGCATATCCAGTATCACCTCGTACCTATGTCCTGATTTAAAATATTCCTGGATAACGGCAGCTATGTTTGGGGCGCCGACAATATCCATGTTTTCAAAAGCCGCAGAAGGCAGAATGACTTCCGGTTCAAGGGTCAAATGGCCCCGTCAACCAATCAGCGATGTCTCATGTCTCATGATCTAAATGAAAGCCAGACAATACATGATAATAACGGGGTCAATCTGAATTGTTATTGCAGAAAAATGTCTTGCAAATGTTTAGTCTTTGTGGACCCGTGACTGAAATGACAGCCAGCAGCCGTTCAAATACTGATGTCTTGTCCACCCACTACTGGGAACGCTTTGCTTTGCTCTTTTGGTTGATGTTAACACAAAGAAGAGGGGGATTTCCTGAAGGATGTATGTTATTACAATCATCAGAGCGGTGGCGTAAGCATAGACTTGTATTCAGGGTCTCAAGATGTTGATCAAATAAAAACAAATTTAACCCTTTAATTCACTTCTTTGTGCTTTAAGAAGTAATTGAGAGGGAGAGAATTACATACTAAAAGCTATGGAAAGCTATGTTGTTGTTTGTTTTGCAGCCTTATCCCTGGTGGTATGGTTAATAAATTAATAATGTAGTCTCCCTCCTCAGGAATAGATCACTGTGACCTGGGAATCCACGGCTGTGAGCATAACTGTGTCAGCTTACCAGGCTCCTACATCTGCAGCTGCATGAAAGGCTACGTCCTGAATTCAGATGGCAAGACTTGTAGCCGTAAGAGATTTTTATTATTTTTGCAACAAGGCAAAGAGAATAAATCAAAGTAATGGTCTGACATTTTTAACTTGTACTTAAACTCAGTTGATTAATAACTTTGGCAAAACTTTTTCAATTTTTCCAAATAAAACATCTAAACCCTTCTTCTTTTCAGAGATAGATCACTGTGCTAATGGCAGCCATGGGTGTGAACAGGAGTTTATGAACACAGGGACTTCCTGTGTATGTAAATGCAGAGACGGCTACACACTCAGACCAGACGGGAAAACCTGTAAAAGTAAGGCTTTAAACAAATTTCTTTGATTCATTTCTCATTGTATGAAAGTGGTTTTAGAGATGTGTGTTTTTTTGACAATAAAAACATTGTATTACCGGCATATAAACAAATAAAACAAATAAAAATTAAAACGTTTGCATTTCTTACCTTTTAACATTAAACTATTTAAACCTTTTCTTATTTTCAGATTTAAGTAGAAATATATATACAAGTCTAAAAAAAGTGGTTGTAAAAGGCAAGGTACCTGTTGAAATCTTTTACTGACATGAAAGTTTGCAAGTACAGGTTGTACAATGTACAATTCAGGTTTTGCCTTAATTTATAAAAGATAACTTTAAAACTGCTACACTTGAAAAAAAAAGCCATCTCTGCACAGAAAATGGTTTTATTTTCCCATTTTGCTCAGAAAAGCCTGAAAATTACTTCTGTGGTCTAGTTTCATCTTAAATGAAATTCAAGAGAGGTGAATGTAGACTAAATTCAGCAGAAGCTCTGTATCAGTAGTTGAATCCTTATAAAGCTCATGTAGTTATAGCAATAAAGTGGCAAATATTATTAAAATGCAACTGCTCTTCCGGTTGGCAAGTAAATGTAGTAGACATGCACGGAATGTGCTATGCTCTGTACTTACACTGCTACCAAACCAATGAGCTTCTCATCAGAGAGACACAGCTGCAAATTTGACCATCCATCCATCCATCCATCCATCCATCCATCCATCCATCCATCCATCCATCCATCCATCCATCCATCCATCCATCCATCCATCCATCCATCCATCCATCCATCCATCTTCTTCCGCTTTTCTGGGGTTGGGTCGTGGAGGTAGCAGCTTCAGTAGGGAGGCCCAGACGTCTCTCTCTCCAGCCATTTGGGCCAGCCGCTCTGAGGGAACCCCAAGGCGTTCCCATGCCAGCTGGGAAACATAGTCCCTCCAGCGTGTCTTGGGTCTCCCTCTGGGTCTCCTCCTGGTGGAACGTACCCGGAACACTTCTCAGGTGAGGTGTCCAGAAGGCATCCTAACCAGATGCCTGAGCCACCTCAACTGGCTCCTCTGAACGTGGAGGAATAGCGGTTCTACTCTGAGACCTCCCTGGATGACTTAGCTCCTCATCCTATCTCTAAGGGTAAGCCCAGACCCCCTACGGAGAAAGCTCTGGGATCTTGGTTTTTTGGTTATGACCCAAAGCTCATGACCATAGATGAGACTGGAAACGTAAATCGAGAGCTTTGCCTTTTGGCTAAACTCTCCCTTCGCCACAACGGACCATACAGTGGACGCCACACCAACATGCCTCACACTTCCGTGAATAACATGGCTGGAACTGAGTCCACCATAAAGTTAGAGGCTTAGATGAGGATTATAATTTTGCTATCTCTAAGTTTAACTGGATCAAAGCAGTCAAAATCTTTTCAGATCCTATAGTTACCTCAGATGCTGCCTCACCTTTCAGAGAAAAAAAATCATATTTAGAGGGGTGCTTATGAAGACTTTACACAAAATAAAGAACACAACAGAGCCCAAAGAAGCTCTTGGCTTTTCTTGGTAACTTGACCAAAATACAACTAAGATGCACCAATGAAACCCTTACAGCGATGTCCATATGAGCTAACACACTGTCTCTCACATGCAGAGGTGGATCCCTGCGCTGATGGCACCCACGGGTGTGAACAGGAGTTTGTGAGCACTGAAGACTCCTGTGTGTGTCGATGCAGGAAAGGCTTCACACTCAGACCAGATGGGAAAACCTGTCAAAGTAGGGTTCTAAACGCAATCTTACCTTAAAATTTTTTATCAGTTTTTGGATTTTCTTTATATTTAGGGCCATATTAACAGACAGATGCAAATTCTTAACTTTTCTGACAAAGACAGTTGAAAATATTTTCGCTGCATTACACTGAAATCGTTTAGCTTCCATGGGCTGTGCTTCTGATATTCTGAAATGACCTTTGCTAGATTTTAAATGGGAATTTAGTTTGCATTTGATTTTATTCAGTGTAAGGTTCTTTAATCTTTTAGCAATATGATTTTTTGATTTGCTAAAAATTGTATTAGAAGTTTGAATGATTGGAAGGGAGAAAAGGACACTCTGAAGGCTGTAGGCAGTGAGCCCCACTCTGAACAGGTCCACCTGGTGGACAGTTTTAGTCAGATGGAAACCCTGATCTCAGTGTTCAAGTGCAAACTGTGTGGAGGTGATGAATCCTTTGCATTGTCAAAACAATCTTCCTCTTTATTCAGCAGCTGTTCATGTGTAACTCATAGAGTTTTTTATAAACTCTATGAGTTTATAAAAAACAAACAACTTATTTTAAGCATGAAAACCAGGTCAAATTGTTTGCTTTATCCTGGGAATTTGAGACTTTACACAAAATAAAGAGCACAAGAAAGCCCAAAGAAGCTCCTAATTTTTCTTGGTAACTTGACCAATGAAACCCTTACAGTGATGTCCATATGAGCTAACACACTGTGTCTCACATGCAGAGGTGGATCCCTGCGCTGATGGCACCCACGGGTGTGAACAGGAGTTTGTGAGCACTGAAGACTCCTGTGTGTGTCGATGCAGGAAAGGCTTCACACTCAGACCAGATGGGAAAACCTGTCAAAGTAGGGTTCTAAACGCAATCTTACCTTAAAATTTTTTATCAGTTTTTGGATTTTCTTTATATTTAGGGCCATATTAACAGACAGATGCAAATTCTTAACTTTTCTGACAAAGACAGTTGAAAATATTTTCGCTGCATTACACTGAAATCGTTTAGCTTCCATGGGCTGTGCTTCTGATATTCTGAAATGACCTTTGCTAGATTTTAAATGGGAATTTAGTTTGCATTTGATTTTATTCAGTGTAAGGTTCTTTAATCTTTTAGCAATATGATTTTTTGATTTGCTAAAAATTGTATTAGAAGTTTGAATGATTGGAAGGGAGAAAAGGACACTCTGAAGGCTGTAGGCAGTGAGCCCCACTCTGAACAGGTCCACCTGGTGGACAGTTTTAGTCAGATGGAAACCCTGATCTCAGTGTTCAAGTGCAAACTGTGTGGAGGTGATGAATCCTTTGCATTGTCAAAACAATCTTCCTCTTTATTCAGCAGCTGTTCATGTGTAACTCATAGAGTTTTTTATAAACTCTATGAGTTTATAAAAAACAAACAACTTATTTTAAGCATGAAAACCAGGTCAAATTGTTTGCTTTATCCTGGGAATTTGAGACTTTACACAAAATAAAGAGCACAAGAAAGCCCAAAGAAGCTCCTAATTTTTCTTGGTAACTTGACCAATGAAACCCTTACAGTGATGTCCATATGAGCTAACACACTGTGTCTCACATGCAGAGGTGGATCCCTGCGCTGATGGCACCCACGGGTGTGAGCAGGAGTTTGTGAGCACTGAAGACTCCTGTGTGTGTCGATGCAGGAAAGGCTTCACACTCAGACCAGATGGGAAAACCTGTGAAAGTAGGGGTCTAAACACAATCTTACCTTTTAATTTTTAATCACAGCTTTTTGTTCTTTCTGTACTATAAAAAAAACTCTGTCTGATATTTATATTTAAGGTCTGAACAGACAGATGCAAATTCATCAGTTTTCTGACAAAGATGGTCGATAATGCTTCCAATGCATTAACCTGAAATTGTAGTCTGTGCTTCTGATATTGTGAAATTACTACAAAGTTGGTATGCAAAAAAAATTTTTTGGCCTTTGCTAAAGTTTAAATGGGATTTTTTTTCACATTTGATTTTATTCCGTGTAAGATTATTTAACCTTTCAGCAATATGATTTTTGATTTAATAATTTGATGAGAACTTTGAATGATTGGAGGGGTGGAAATGAAAACTCTGAAGGCCATAGGCAGTGAGCCCCACTCTGAACATGTCCACCTGGTGGCCAGTTTTAGTCAGATCTCAGTGTTCAAGTCCAAACTGTGTGGAGGTGATGAATCCTTTTTATTGTCATTACAGTGTTTCTTGTTATTCAGCAGGTGTAGATGTGTTCTTGAATGTTTCTGGATGTTCCTGCATTAGGTTCAGACATGTGTAAGGTGGTGGACCATCAGTGCCAGCATATCTGTGTGAACAGTCCTGCCTCCTACAGGTGTAAGTGCAGGAAAGGCTTCACTCTCAACCCCGATGGAAAGACATGTAAAGGTAAACCTCTGAGCTCTTTCCTCAACAGGTAAACACTGCAGATCTTCCTAGTCAACTTTAACTCAGGGTGACCTTCCTCCATGTTGTCTCTCTGCAGCCGTCGATACGTGTGCTGTGGTGGATCATGGCTGTGATCACATCTGTGTTAACGTGGCTGAAGGCTATGAGTGTCGCTGCCGTCCAGGATACGAGCTCACCATAGACCTGAAGACATGCAACAGTAATATTTCCCTTTGCTTGAAGTCAACCCACTTTTTATTTATTGCTTGCTTTTAGTTTAAATATCTTCTTGAGTCAAGTAAATCCTTATAGCTCCTACAGGTATTTTAATTCTGCTCTAAACAGAAGTATTTTTAAAATGTCACAATGTCACAAGATTAGGGTCATAGTTTGGAGGCCTTGTTCAGTGTGAGCACACTATTATAAACCTAATACACATTAGCACACTCATGCATATACACCGCAAACATTTGGATGCAGGTATTCACTGATACACAACTATGCCTAATACTAGGCTGCAGGTCCAACCATATAGCTGCTTTGCCACTGAAAACCCATGGTTTTCAAGATCGGGTTGATCCGTTTTACAAACGGCTTTTGGCTCTTTCCTATTTGACCGTAAAGCCGAGTCTGACCCCCTGCTAGAAAGCTGCATGGCCACTGTCCCCCACCACTGATGTGTTTGCACATGCGCAGTGTGTGAGGTTCGTGTAAATTGGCTCGTAACTCTCCTTCAACAGTAGGATTTGCTCACAAACACCTTAAGAGGGCCAACTGGATTTCAAACATGTTTGATTTTTTCATGACCTTACGATTCCTGATCGGGAGGTGGCTGTAAGAGGCTGATCTCCCCTCGTTACCCTTTGTATACTTAACAATGCAGGCTGCACAATAAAGCTGAAACTGTTTCGAGACCAAAAAAATTCTCGCAGGACTGGAGAATTGGCCCGAAAAGCGCAAAAACTCTTCTGTCAGATGAGCATAACCCGTCAGACCAGCATAACCATAGTCAATACGCTTGCGCAAACAGATGCGCGTTTATCCCTTTAGTTTTGTACAAAAAATAGACTTTAAACTATCTCACTGGGCGTGTATCCCTTTAGTCATGTACAAAAAAAAACAATTTAAGGTTAGAACGCTATTTGCTTCAAAAAACACCACAAAGTAAGTATTTAAATTGTTTTTTTTTTGTATATGACTAAAGGGATACACGCCCATTGAGGTAGTTTAAAGTTTATTTTCGTACAAAACTAAAGGGATAAACTAAAGTTATAAACGGGTATTGACTGATGCTGTTCTGACCGCGTATGCTCATCTGACCGAACGGCGGCTTCAGTGCCCCATAGCAGCAGCAGGCGATCAAAGCAAGAATCCCCGACAGAGAGTTAGCCAAATGAGATAGAGTTGGTGAACATGCCCCGCTCTGGATCAAAAAAAGCTAACAGCAGGATATCGGAGTACTTATTAATTTTCTCCCTCACTGCCATGTTGTTCAACAGTTCATCTTTATTAATTGTCCTGCATTTTGGACCTAACTTAACTTGATCTTGTGCAGACATCACATATACCCAGATGTCAACATAAACACAATGAAAGATTTAGAACATTCAGTTTAGATTCTTTTTAATCTTAAGGTTTTGTTTTAAGTAGCAAGTCTTGTCAAGTCAAAAGGCTCAAGTCAAAGTGGAGTTGCAAGTCTTTATACATTTAGTCAAGTCGAGTCTAAAGTAATCAAATTCATGACTCGAGTCTGTCTCAAGTCCAAGTCCTATGACTAAATCCTTGTACATTGTGTACATGGACTATGTGTATTTACTGTGTGTAATTGGGATACTCCTTTAGTTGTTATGATTGTGTTTCTTTTCCTTTCCTTTCATTTCTTGGAGGTGTTGAAGCAGACTTCTTGGAGTTATGGACTTTCTGTTCTTTCTTTCTTTCTTCTCTCTCTTTCCCTCTCTCCCTGCCTTTCTCTCACTCTCTCATTCTTTTTCCCCTTAAGTCTTATCCCTTCTCCCTTTCTCACCTTCCTTTCTGTCTCCATTTCTATGCATATACTTTCTGAAAGGTTTATGGTTGCATTTGGACAACGGTTTAATGACGCACAATACCTTTTGAAAAGACTATAGTGCAATATTGATCTACTGTTTTCATCTTTTAGACCATGTACACAAAATATAGTATAACATTTTGAATATAATTATAACATATTTTTTAATAATTGATAATTATGATGTAAAATAAGTCATTCTGAATGTTCTTTCAAATACTATAGCATTTGTCTAATGTGAAGCCAGCATAGCACATTGATTATAATCAAAATGATCTGAATGAAAGCCAGACAATACCTGATAGTAACGGGGTCATTCTGAATGGTTACTGCAGGAAAATGTCTTGCAAATGTTCAGTCTTTGTGGACCGGTGACTGAAATGACAGCCAGCAGCCGTTCAAATACTGATGCCTTGTCCACACACTACTGGGAACGCTTTGCTTTGCTCTTCTGGTTGATGTTAACACAAAGAAGAGGGGGATTTCCTAAAGGATGTATGTTATTACAATCATCAGAGTGGTGGCGTAAGCATAAACTTTTATCCAGGCTCTCAAGATGTTGCACAACTAAAAGATTTAACCCTTTGGTTCACCTCTTTGTGCCTTAAGGGATGACTGAGACGGACATAATTACATACAGTAAAATATGAGAAAATCTAAGTTGTTATTTCTTTTGCAGCTTTAGCCCTGGTGGTATGGTTAATACATTAATAATGTAGTCTCCCTCCTCAGGAATAGATCACTGTGACCTGGGAATCCACGGCTGTGAGCATAACTGTGTCAGCTTACCAGGCTCCTACATCTGCAGCTGCATGAAAGGCTACGTCCTAAATTCAGATGGCAAGACTTGTAGCCGTAAGAGATTTTTATTATTTTTGCAACAAGGGCAGGAGACCCTAAACAGGCTTAAATTGGAAGGCAACCAGATATTGGCTCAGTTTTTTGAAGAGCCATATCCAGGAGTATTTGTCAGTTCTGTTCAACCTATTCTCATTATGAGTGCGTATGAAATCGTACAAAAAGTTATGCACCGTAATTTTGTACGTTTTGGACGTTTTTTTCGTCGTATGCGCATGCGCATCTGACGGATCATTCATGAATATAGAATATAAATTCCAATTAGCCCTAACCCTGACCCTAACCCTAACCCTAAGATATAAAACAGCAAGCAACATAGTTAGAGACATGAATAAGTGATGATTGCACAGTTTTTCCCAGTTTTACGTTTTTTTTCTGTCTGTCAGCGCATGCGCACTGATGTGGTTTTTTTAAGGAAAATTGTCCAAAAAGTACGAAATAGTGTGCATAACTTTTCGTACGATTTCATACGCACTGATAATGAGAATATGTTGTTTTGTTGGCTTACTAAAGATCAATTTCTAGTTGGAGCTCTGATGCATTGAAGCAGCATGGAAGTCCATCCTCACGCACACATTCCAAGTCACATGCAAAAAATAGCCATCTTTTATTGGTCTTTTGAACCATACTGGGAGTGCTTATGCAATCTCTTTGGAGTGAGTTCTATGGATGAATTATAAATGCTTGGAAGCTAAAACTGCAATACTACTGCTGTGTTCAGTAATGGCTTTTTTTCTTTTCATGAAGATGGCTTCCTTCTACCAGCAGACAAAGACAAATGTATGGTGGTACTTAACACAACTGACTACCATGAAAAAACAATGCATTCACTAATGGACAGTAACACCTACAAGACCTACAAAAGAAAATAACAGACTATTTCAAAAAACTGTAAAGAGAAAAAGCCATCAGTCACTCTCTCTTCTATAAACCGTACCCATGGAAGGCCATACCATGCATATATGGTCTTCCAGAAATACACAAGGAAGGGGTCCTACTCAGGCCTATTGTCAGCACTATTAACATGGAGACACACAATATTGCAAAACATCTTCCAACAATTTAGCCTCCATCGGTTGGAAGCACTCCACATCAAATACGAAACTCCTCAGACTTTACTTCCAAAGTCCATAATTTGAGACTTGCTCCATGTGAAAACATTGTTTCTTTCGATGTAACCTCTCTGTCATGTTTGAAGCAAGGCGTTTGACCTACATGCAGAGAACACACAAGAAGAGCTGGATCGTCCTTGCACCGAAGGCAGAGAAGGGGAGAGGTTAGCGGATGGTTTAGACTCAGGCTGGGAACCTAATTCAGACAGGAGCTTACTGAGTAGGTGGGGTGTTTCCACCAGGGAGGACAGGAGTTGGGAGCTGGAGGTTTTCTTGGTGATCGCAGGTGGGTGAATCGTCGCAGGGCAGGTAGGTCTTTCCAGATTGTTGGCAGAGAGAGAGAAGCGGTACGTTGCAGGATAGCAAGGTTTTTCCAGGAGTTTCTTGAGTTAAGGTTTTGTTAGGGTTCGGTACAGTTTGGAGGTCCTCTGAGGAAGCTTTTCTCAAAAGCACAAGAGGTAACCTGTAAAAGACACATAGAGGACCGATTCAGGTTTATAGAACCGGTAGTGATTAACAGTCAAGCGCTGGAGATCCGACCGACCGCTCCTCTTATACTGCAGGAGATGATGGTGATTACACGCAGACACTCAGAAACTGCCCTGCAAGCCGACCGCAGCCTAATGGCCCCACCTAGAGCAGGGGTAACAATTAAAAATCAGCACGGTCCGAATAAAGAAAATCATCAACCAGTAAAGGTCCGGAAACATTTTTAAATATAATCCTTTACTTTAAACTGCATTTAACACTGAAATAAAATTAGCTTTTTATGCATCATTGAATTTTTAAGTAAAAAAAAAAAGAAAAAAAATAGATCATTTACTCATTTTAAAATCAAATTTGTTTTTTGAAGCAGTGAACAACAATCATTCAGTTTGGTATATAGACAGTTTCCTGATACACATATTCTATAAAACACCTGAACTGACTTTTTTTTTTAACTTTTTTTCTGTCTTAATGAGAGCAGTGGGCTTTAGACTGCCCTGCAAGGCTAAAGCACATATCAAGGTGCTCATTTTGAGCCTGGATCCATATTTATTTTTGATTATAGTCATGGTGGGAAATCCAAACTCACATCAGTAGGTTGAGCCAAACATACTCAAAATGTGCAGGGTCATCTTTGAGCTTGAGGGTGATCTTTGAGGCACTAAACCACCTGAAACATACGTGGATGACGCTTGGGTCGAAATCCAAACCAAGGAAGTTGAGTCATTCCCCAATCACACCAACTCAGTGAACAGAAATATAAATTTCACTTAAGAGGATGCCAAGAACAAAATATAACCATTTCTTGACCGTGCTGTGCATGTTAGAGACAATTGAAGTTTTAATGCTGATGTTTACTGGAAACCTACAGATACAGACTAATACCTTCATTTTGACTCACATCACCCACTGGAATATAATCTTTATGTGATCATAACGAACCAGGCCAGCAATATTCCCTAAATTACAGAGGAGGAGTGACAGAAACAAAAATATGTTAAAAAATCACTTGAAGCATGTCGTTATCCAAACTGGATATTTAATTCGGCCAAAACAATGAGCAGGGAGAACAAAACTGCTTGAAACACAGAGGAGAAAACTGAGAGACACAAAAACATTGTAATTCCATGTGTGTCAGGAATTACTGAGAAACTTTTCTCCAAACACAGCTAAGGGTGTGCAAAATAATCGTCATGACGATGCATCGCGATTCTAATTTTTGTGATCTACTGCATTATTATCAAAAAAAAAAAAATGAACAAATAAAATACATTAATGGTTGGCGCACATCAGCTAAACCAAGTGGAATACAACTTCCAGTCCAGCAGATGTCGCTGTGGATGTGTTGACGCCCGCTGCCTTGTGTCACAAGCATGTGGGATACCGCGACGAGTCATATGAAATAAAACATGAAGGACACTATGAAAATTCCCCCTGCGGCTCCATCACATTGGAGCACAGATGCTTGGATGCATTTTGGCTTTAAAAACAAAGAAGGTAAGAATGAAATTGATATGATGCACATCATTTGCAAAAGGGGAAATATACATTTGAATGTTTTCGTTTCATTGGTTTAAAGGACCACTGAGGCCATGTAAACGGCACTGATTATCCTTATTTTGTTATTCTAAGTTTGATGAATCCTAAGATCTTTTTGTCAGTGTGTCCACGCCAGTAATAGTAATAGTAATATTTCCCTCATAAGTATCTGTTTTCATGGCAACACCTCCAAAAGTGGTTTCAATAAATACAGCTATGTATAAATTCAGTTGCTTTCAGTTATGTATCAATTGAAGACACTATCTAGATCATACCCAGCCAGTCAGCCACTGGTAAGGGCTGTATCTTTTTCTTACAGTGTTCAGTGAAAATATCGCAATGCATCGCAATATTTCAAGTATCGTGATGCATCGTGATAGAATCGCATCGTGGCATGTGAATCTTGATTCGAATCGAATCGTGACTTCTTTGCAAAATACCCACCCCTAAACACAGCATACCAGTGAAATTTAAACCTCACATCACACTCTGATAAAAATGTATTCATCCTAAAGACAGATCACCCAAACCTAAGCTGAACAGTGTTGTGTATGTGATCCAGTGCAGTGACGACTGTACAGGTGCTGGTCATAAAATTAGAATATCATGAAAAAGTAGATTGATTTCAGTAATTCCATTTAAAAAGTGAAACTTGTATATTATATTCATACATTACATACAAACTCATATATTTCAGATGTTTATTTTGTTTAATTTTGATGATTACAAATGACAACAAATGAAAATCTCAAATTCATCATATCAGAAAATTAGAATATTGTGAAAAGGTTCAAAATTGATGGCCCCTGGTGCCACACTCTAATCAGCTAATTAACTCAAACCACCTGCAAAAGCCTTTAAATGGTCTTTCAGTCTAGTTCTATAGGCTACACAATCATGGGGAAGACTGCTGACTTGACAGTTGTCCAAAAGACGACCATCGACACCTTGCACAAGGAGGGCAAGACACAAAAGGTCATCGCTAAAGAGGCTGGCTGTTCACAGAGCTCAGTGTCCAAGCACATTAATAGAGAGGCGAAGGGAAGGAAAAGATGTGGTCGAAAAAAGTGTACAAGCAAGAGAGATAACCGCACCCTGGAGAGGATTGTGAAACAAAACCCCTTCAAAAATGTGGGGGAGATTCACAAAGAGTGGACTGCAGCTGGAGTGAGTGCTTCAAGAACCACCACACACAGACGTATGAAAGACATGGGTTTCTGCTGTCGCATTCCTTGTGTCAAGCCACTCTTGAACCACAGACAGCGTCAGAAGCGTCTTGCCTGGGCTAAAGAGAAACAGGACTGGACTGCTGGTGAGTGGTCCAAAGTCATGTTCTCTGATGAAAGTAAATTTTGCATTTCCTTTGGAAATCAAGGTCCCAGAGTCTGGAGGAAAAGAAGAGAGGCACTTCATCCAAGTTGCTTGAAGTCCAGTGTAAAGTTTCCACAGTCAGTGATGGTTTGGGGTGCCATGTCATCTGCTGGTGTTGGTCCATTGTGTTTTCTGAGGTCCAGGGTCAACGCAGCCACATACCAGGAAGTTTCAGAGCACTTCATGCTTCCTGCAGCTGACCAACTTTTTGGAGATGCAGATTTCATTTTCCAACAGGACTTGGCACCTGCACACAGTGCCAAAGCTACCAGTACCTGGTTGAAGGACCATGGTATCCCTGTTCTTAATTGGCCAGCAAACTCTCCTGACCTTAACCCCATAGAAAATCTATGGGGTATTGTGAAGAAGAAGATGCAATACACCAGACCCAACAATTCAGAAGAGCTAAAAGCCACTATTAGAGCAACCTGGGCTATCATAACACCTGAGCAGTGCCACAGACTGATCGACTCCATGCCACGCCGCATTGCTGCAGTAATACAGGCCAAAGGAGGCCCAACTAAATACTGAGTGCTGTACATGCTCATACTTTTCATGTTCATACTTTTCAGTTGGCCAACATTTCTATAAATCCTTTGTTTTTATTGGTCTTCAGTAATATTCTAATTTTCTGATATGATGAATTTGAGATTTTCATTTGTTGTCATTTGTAATCATCAAAATTAAACAAAATAAACATCTGAAATATATGAGTTTGTATGTAATGTATGAATATAATATACAAGTTTCACTTTTTAAATGGAATTACTGAAATCAATCTACTTTTTCATGATATTCTAATTTTATGACCAGCACCTGTACAGCCTCCTATATTGGAGAAACCCAACAACAACTTCATAAACCCATGGGACAGCATAAGAGAGCCAGCAGCTCTGGGAAAGATTCAGCTTTGAAGACCAAAGTGTTAAGATTTTGGACAGAGAGGACAGATGGTTTGAAAGAGGGGTCAAGGAAGCCATCTTGATGAAAAGAGAAAAGCCATTACTGAACACAGGGGGAGGATTGAGGTTTCCTAGCATTTCCAATTCAGTCATGGAACTCATTTCAAAGAAATGACATAAGCAATCCCATTATGATCCAAAAGACCAATCACAGAGACCATGCACAACAAAAGGCTCCTGCAATCCAGAAGAACAAAGGGTGGCTATTTGATCTGAATATGTCTTGGAGTGTGTGCAGGCAGATGGACCTCCATGTTGCTTCAATACATCAGAGCTCAACTAGAGATTAATCTGGTGTTAATCAACAGAATTAACAAATACACCTGGATAGGTGTCAAAACGTCATCAAAAAATGAGTAACAGTCCACATGCCCTCCAATTTAAGCCTGTTTGTGGTTGGCATGGCCCGTATGATTGATAATTTACACAGGCAAGGGAAGGAGAGTAAATAAAACTAATGATCTGAAATTATTTGTTGAGTTGCACTCAAACGATTTATAACTTATGAAAAGAGACACAATTCACTGGTCCAAATAAAACATCTACACCCTTCTTCTTCTCAGAGATCAATCACTGTGCTAATGGCAGCCATGGGTGTGAACAGGAGTTTATGAGCACAGCAACTTCCTGTGTGTGTAAATGCAGAGACGGCTACACACTCAGACCAGACGGGAAAACCTGTAAAAGTAAGCTTATTCAGCAAACTGTGATATTTTTAATAGTTTTTAGGTCAAAACATTTAATTTTTAATGCCTTGGAGTTTGTTAAAATCATGTGAAGTCATAATATTCCCATGAAATCTATCTATTCTTAAGAGGACATTTAAATATTTTACATTATTGCCTCAGATCAGTTCAGTCCCAGATGAAGTGACTCACTAACCAGCTTCTTTTTCAAAGGTCCAAAGATTGAAGATTTGTTTTGTCTGCATTCAGGAACAGAAAGTTTAGTCTATGTAATGGGTTAGCTTCATCTGGATTCATAGGCAGATATAGCTGAGCATCGTCATGCTTTTATTTTTATTCCAATTATTTATCATTTAAGACCAATTTGAAGACATTTCTCTCTGTCTAAAAAATCAAAGTCGTTTTTTCTACAGGAATTTCTGTCATAACAATATAAGCTTGTAATGTAATCTGATGCTGACTTTCATTATGTGATTGACCAAGCGAAGTAAAAAAAGTTATCAAAAAATTTACATTGGTGTCACGATCTGATCGAATGCTTCAGCATTAAATTGGGAAAATTAATTAATTTGAGATGTCAGTGTTTCATTTCTGTAGTTTTTGTATGTGCACTCTAAGATGAAAATGCTGCCCCAACTTAAATGAATTACTTCACTTGGTAACAATTAATTCCATTAATTTTCAATTGTAGTTGTGTGGTCCTCTGTGTCCTTTTTAGTTTACTTATTGTTGTGTTTTGTTGTTGTTTATTCTTGTTATACAGCACATTGGAAACCTTTTATGTTGTTAAATGTGCTATATAAATAAAGTGGATTGGATTGATTGAATAACTGAATCAAGTTGATCCAACCTTATTGAAAACTTAAATAAATCAAGTTGGGCAAATTTAATTAAATTACTTGTCACTAACTGAAGCAATTCCTTCAAGTTGGAGCTGCATGTTTTTTGTATGTGGATCTTTCCCATTAACTTGATAAAGCCCTGTGGTCATGTTTTGCATTATGTTATTGTTTCATGAAGTGTGTGATGCAGGTCTCAGTCTGAAGTCTCGATCTTTCTCAGTTTTGAACTTGAATGAAAGAATGAAACACTTATCAATATAATCTATATCTTAAACCACTGGCTATTATTTTTTTTAAAGTAAATCCCCCTATTTTTCCTTTTTTTCCTCATGGGCCTCATACAGTGGCATAGATCAAAGCCCACTGACAATGCGAGTGTACAGGACTCAGTGTTTGGTATTAAGGCTCCTGCCTGGATCCACTGCTCTGTCTCTACCAGAGTCTGGAACTCTTCTCAATTGTGAGGCAAATTGCTTAATCTGGGTCAGAAAGAAAGCTAACCTTCTGTTTAGAAAATCTCAGATTTAAAGTGTCCCACAGAGTGATGCTGCCACCACCATGTCTTACTGTTGAAATGGTGTGTTCAGGTTAATCTGTAATATTTTTTTGAAACGTAAAACATTTTACAAATAGGCCAGAAAGTCAGATTCTGGTTTTAACATGATAATTGTTTTTATTTTTCATTTCAGTTTATAACACTTATCATAAAATATTGTTGCTTATTATAAGACCCCCTCCATCCACAATGACAAGATGGCAAAATTACCAAAAAAGTTTAAAGCAATGAATAAACTGTCATCTCTGTTTATTTAATTGCATAAAGTAATATTTCTGCTGTGATATTCTAATCTTAAATGTCATGTTTTTATCAGCGATAGCAGATAAACTTCATTATTAACAGAATTAATGGTCTGAAAACATCCGCCTGTGTTTAATAGTCCATTTATTTGTTAATCTATTTAAAGTGTTTCTCTCAGTAAACTGAGTTACTGACATACATGAACTTTTCATTGACATCCTGTATTCATCCCACAGAGATTGACCATTGTGCTGATGGGAATCATGGCTGTGAGCAGGAGTTCATAAATACTGAAGATTCATGTGTTTGTAAATGCAGAGAAGGATACACACTGAAGGCTGATGGAAAGACGTGTCAGAGTGAGTGTTAATGGATTCAGTAGAATAGAAATTTCATGAAGTGTGAATGGAAGTATTGCATTTACAATGATGATTAGTCCAAAGAGTTGAGATGAAAATTGATAAAATATAGAAATATAGATGAAATAATATCTGGAGAGACAGATGGGACATATTCAGTCGTTATTAGCTTGGAAGTTTTCAGATTTGATCTTTACTTCACTCCCAGTATTTACATTATAGATACATATGAAAATATTCTAAATCAGATTTAATGTCAGAATTAATCCCACGTCCAATGGTGACTTAACATACCCCAATGCTGCTTGTCCAGATTTTCAGCTGTTTGCCATTTTGGTTTAATATTTACAGGTAGGTATGCAGATGGAAAATATATATGAAATTCAATCCAGTTTATTTAAATAGCACCAATTCACCAAACATAGCAGCTCAAGGCACTGTAAAGAGACATTTCAGTCTGAAAAACTTTATTTTCCTTTTTCTTTTAAGTCATTGCAGGTTGTGGTGAATGATTAGATTGCATGGAATACAGTAGAAACAAATGACTGTTTTTTTTGTGTGAAAATCTTTAACCCCTTAACACCCACCTCATTTTGGGTAATCCTCACCTATTTTGATACCCAAATGGAAAGCAAATAACTTAGGGACTGTAAGCCCAAATTACAAGCTAAAACCCTCTAGTTTCCTAATATATAAATTAAAATTGGGTGACTAGAACACAGACCAACCTGCATCAGTTCAAACATGACTCAAAGTTGTTTTTTTTTATTCTCGGAAATGATAGGTCTTTTTTTAACAGCAGTAATAAAGATATTCTTGAGAAAAAAGCAGGTTTTATTTTATTATATTTGTTCTACATCATGTCAACCACACACGCAGAAAATTTAAGACCTCTAGCTATAACAGTTCCAGAGCTGTGGAGTTTTGAACTTTTGGTGTCAGCTTGGAGCTGCGCGCAGTGGCTCCACCTGCTGGTGAAATTTTTACCGGTGGAATTTTATGCATTCTGAATTATTACCACCACTTAAGGTCCACAGGGTCTCTGACGACCCGGTGGGTTTTAAGAGGTTAATCTGGACTCATTTTGGGGGTTAATGCATCTAACAGCTGTTACAGGCGTAACACCGGGGCTGTTTAGAAAACTGGCTTATGAATCAGAAGAGGAAACAAATCATCAAACAAACAACGTCGTCTCGTTACCTAAAAGTTAAACACAAGATTATTTCCAGAATTACATATGGGCTGCCATGACTTATTAATCCTCTCCGCTGTTGTGGTATTGAAGGATGTAATCAGTTTTAACGCACACCAATCATCTCGTTATGACGAGAAAACGGCTTTCGTTATCTTTAGATAATGGGAAAATTAACATGTTTTCTCGAAAAAGTATCTGTTAAAAAGTATCTGAGGGACACGACCGCTCTCTGCTTCCATAAAAGACAGATTAGCCTCCTTTACTGATTAATTTGCAGGACCAATAAGGCAGTATCAAAGCTGTGTTAGAACAAGTCAATATTCAATGCTAAATAATAGCCTTAAAAGCTAATCTATCACTCTGCCCTTTGTTTTCTTTACTTTAATGTCTTCAGTTTTACATTCCAAAAGGAAAATTTAAAATGAAATAAAGCTTAAAGAAACACGTTAATTGTGCTGCAGGAGCTTTTGTAACTTGTGTTAAACCTGCAGGTGTGGATCTGTGTCAGACTCTGGACCATGGCTGTGAACATCTGTGTGTCAGCACCACTGCCTCTTATATCTGCAAATGTTATGAGGGATTCCTGCTGGCTGGAGATGGAAAGAGCTGTGAAAGTAGGATCACAGCTATATTTACCCTCGATGCTTTGAGAACTGGAGCGAAATGAACCCACATCATCATGCATTTTTTATGTCTTTGCTTCTGACAGAACCAGGGTGTCTCGATGGAGTCATGGATTTAGTGTTTGTGATCGACGGCTCCAAGAGCCTGGGCCCGGCTAACTTTGAGCTGGTTAAACAGTTCGTAAACAGCATCGTGGACTCCCTGAACATCTCCAGGACGGGCACTCACGTAGGACTTATTCAGTTCTCCACTAAGGTGCGCACAGAGTTCACTTTGAATCGGCACACCACGGGACAGGACATCAAGCGGGCCGTGAACCAGATGCAGTACATGGGGAGGGGCTCCATGACCGGCTCAGCTCTGCGTCACATGTTTCAGTTCAGCTTTTCAGAGAAAGAAGGCGGCAGGTCCAACATCCCACGAGTGTGTGTGGTGTTCACCGATGGGAGGTCACAGGATGATGTTTCTGAGTGGGCCAGCAAAGCAAAGAACTCTGGTAATGCATCCTACTTTCTCTCTATCACAGGTCATTCTCATTTTAACAAAGGTATGTTTTTTATGGAGTGAATTTTGTATCATTATTGATGCAAGAAAAGAAAATGGTTTGGAAATGGAAATTTAAAAACACAATCCAGAAATGTGTACTTCTAATACTAAATTGACTGTTTTCTTATATATATTTTTTTATTTATTTTATCTTCTTTTTTTTTTTCAAACTTTATATTTCAGTTGTTTTACAGGTTTTTTTATTTTTAAATGTTTTTAAATTCCATTTTTTGAGATGGAGTTTTAAAAACAGCATTTTCTTTGTTTCTAGCTCATAAAAAACACTCACTCTTGACTAATGAAAATGTTGCTAACGTCCATCCAGACCAATAGAAAAGCATGTTTGCTTCTCACTCCATAGAAAGCCTTCCTCCAGAAGTAATAAGAAATGTTACCAACCTACCCTTTTTGATGAAGATTTTACGTTTTAAAGTTTTATCCCTGGATTGCTTTTTTTTGTTTCCATTAATATGTTCTTTGCAACAATAGTGGAATAAAAGTCACTCCATAGTTTCAAAACATTGCTCTGTTTTCTGCCACTTCTAGGGGTCACAATCTACGCGTTGGGCGTTGGGAAAGCCATTGAACAGGAGCTGAGAGAAATAGCATCAGAACCTTCTGAGATGCACCTGTATTATGCAGAGGATTTTAAGAAAATGGGAGAAATTACACAGAAACTGAAGTCAAGGATATGTAAAGGTACTTTGTTCAACATTTAGTATTCAGTTCTGCAAAAAGTTGAAAAAGAAAAAGATCTCTCCTTCTTTATTAATTCAGGAAAGGTAAAGTTTGCACTTAAGAAGTCAGTTAAAAGGCTCCCTTTATAGGGTTACTGCCACCTGCTGCTGCTGCAGCCGCTGCTCACAAAATCCTGCATGAGAGGAACGTCAATGTGCAGCAGAGAGCCAGGAATGGATACGATGAATGGAAATGAGATGGAAGGAAGAATAATTTAACCTTGTTTATTTTGCTCCTACAGACAGACCAGCAGATGAGAACATGTGTCGATGTGAGAACATAATCCTGTTTCAGAACCAAGTCACAGAGCAGCTGAAGAACCTGGCTCAGAGTAATATCCTTTTATTGCTGGTTGCACCATTTTCTCCTTGATTAGATTAAGTGGATTCAAAGGCAGTAAAACTGATTAGATGAAAAAAAACCAAATCAGTTTGTGGTTTAGAGAGTTACTGAAAACTATTCCTTTAAACTCTGAGGAACAGAGATGAAACTGGATTTAAGCTTTATTTAGCTTTATTTAAGCTTTATTTAAGCTTTATTTAAGCTTTATTTAAACTACATCAGGTACATACAGTTAATTTTTATTTTGTTTTCTGTGCGGTCTTTCTCCTCATTTTGCTATCCTACAGCCTTACTCCAAATTACACTGAATAACCCATTATGAAATGTATAACTTTTTTTTTTATTATTATTGTTGATTTATTTCAAATGAAAAGTATTTACAAATAACGTTATGAAGGCAATTTTGTTCCATTATTGTTGCAAGGAAGGAACATGGACATTTTAAAATAAAAATTAGAAGGCAATCCAGAAATCAAAGTTAAAAAACGTTTTAATCAAAAGGTTTGGGAGAAAGTTTTCTGTTTTCTCAGATTTAACTGTTTAATTTCCTTTTTACAGATTTTATATTTTCAAATTGCATTTTAATGACACGCAATCTGAAAAGGAAAACTAAACACAATCTAATTTGAACATTTTAATTCTCTAAAGAAAATATAAAAATCATAAAGTTTGAAAATAAAAACTTGACAATAAATAAAAAAAAATTAATAAATAACTTGAAAAAAAAAATTACACAATTACTCTTAAAGCCTTTTTTAATTAAGATTTTTAAATGTGATTTCTGGATAGTATCTTGTTTATTTCCATTTACAAATCATGATCTTTGCTTTCAACAATAATGGAGCAAAGTTCATCAGGGAATGCACTGATGTATTACGAAGAAAGTCAGGATCTATTCATCTAAATGAGCTTTAACCTTAGCAGACAAGTGGAAGGAATTTCATTTCAGAATCAAAATCAGAATGACTTCATTCATTCCTTGTGGGAAATTATTTAAGCTAGCATAGGGGAGTGGTGGCCTAGTGGTTAGGGCATATAGCCTGGAATCCTGAGGTTCTGAGTTTAAGCCCCACTCCCACAGACTGCCACTCTGGGTCCCTGAGCAAGACCCTTAACCCCACACTGCTCCACTGGGCGCCTCACCATGGCAGCCCACTGCTCCCTAAGGGGATCGGTGAAGTGTAGAGAGTGACTGTCTCTAATGTGAGATCAATAAAGTTCTATTATTATGATTTATGCTAATTTAAGGCATGTCTTCATGGTGAAGTTTTTCCTCAGTCCTTAGCTCTGGGGATGGTTTATCAAAACAGTTTGAATTTATTCTTCTTTGGAGATTTATAATATTTTGATGCTTTGCTTCATCAATGTTCAATCTATTTCCTATGAATCTCTTTAACATAATTACTTGAAGCATTGTCAAAGAAGCTGGAGACTCTGGAGAATCAAGTCGTGCGTAAATAAAAGGCATTCAGACCTTCAGGATCCCTGTCAGCCTGGACTGTTAATTCTATTTATCATTTTAAAGGACAGTTTAAAGCTTCCATTTTATCCATTAAGTGTTTGAAATGTATCCAAGCATGCCTGTAATTTCATCTGTGGGTTGTAATAATAAACAGCTTATCTTCATGGAGCAGGTCTCTTCCAATGTAACGATATATTTGGACAAATATTTTAGATTAAATCACGTTAATTTTGTGCTGCTACTGACCGCCGTTTTATGGCAAGGATTCCAGATGTTTTACCAGATACACAGGAAACTTCATCGTACTGGACAAAGCTCAGACGCATTGTATAACATTCCTTGATTTTCATAGAGAAAATCATTATTGTTGCAAACAAAGATTTAGTTTATTCCCCCACATTTTATTTGTTCAGCTTTGAATTATGTTTTCATATATTTGTTTTCAAGTTTATTTTCATATTTCAGTTTTTTAGATGGAGTTTTATGAATTGCTTTTTTTCTAATTGCATTTCACAGATCACATTCTCTTTACTGCAAGCCAAACACAAACATTGTGGTCCCTAACATCCATGCAAATTATTAGAAATGCGTCTTCAATCCTCACCTCAGAAGAAAGCTAGAAGTGAAGGGAACATTAACTATAAAACTCAATATGAAAAGATTACAATTTGTAAACTTCAATTTAAAAAAATCATTTAGATAGATAACAGAAAATATAAAAAAAGGAAATTAGGATTATATAGAATCTGTTTAATAACTGAAAAAAAGAAGAAAAATGAAAAAAAAAAAACATCTAAGAAACCAGCAGGCATACTAAAAACCTTTTTTTTTGTTTCATTTCCGAATTGCAATTTTTTTTATTCCAATTTACAATCTGTATTCTGTGCTTGAAACAATAAACAGAATTCACTCCACAGTTTCTCTGTCATTTAGGACCACAAAGACCAGTTATAAATGTTTGAATTCCATTTCTGTTTTTTTTTTTTTCATCTGAAATGTTGGTGTCATGGTTGATATTAAACTATTGTTTAAAACTTGTTAAAGAAAAGCAAATATAGTACGAAAAAATACCCTGATTGAAGAAATGACAGTTAAATGACAGATCTTTGACCCGCACTAAAACTGGTCATTACTGAGCTTACTAACATAAGAGGAAGCAAACGGGAGCCCCTCTGTCTGTAACACAACCAACGCATGGAAGGCTGCGGGAGTCGAAGAAAGAATAAAAAAAATGTATTGCATGGTTTAAAAAATAAAGCAACTGTATATTATTAGTATATTCTGTTTTCAGAACTGCCTCAATTCTTCATGGCATAGATTCAACAAGGTGCTGGAAGCATTCCTCAGGGGGTTTGGTCCATATTGACATGATGGCATCACACAGTTGCTGCAGATTTGTCGGCTGCACATCCATGATGCGAATCTCCCGTTCCACCACATCCCAAAGATGCTCTATTGGATTGAGATCTGGTGACTGTGGAGGCCATTTGAGTACAGTGAACTCATTGTCATGTTCAAGAAACCAGTCTGAGATGATTCCAGCTTTATGACATGGCGCATTATCCTGCTGAAAGCAGCCATCAGAAGTTGGGTACATTGTGGTCATAAAGGGATGGACATGGTCAGCAACAATACTCAGGTAGGCTGTGGCGTTGCAACGATGCTCAATTGGTACCAAGGGGCCCAAAGAGTGCCAAGAAAATATTCCCCACACCATGACACCACCACCACCAGCCTGAACCGTTGATACAAGGCAGGATGGATCCATGCTTTCATGTTGTAGACGCCAAATTCTGACCCTGCCATCCGAATGTCGCAGCAGAAATCGAGACTCATCAGACCAGGCAACGTTTTTCCAATCTTCTATTGTCCAATTTCGATGAGCTTGTGCAAATTGTAGCCTCAGTTTCCTGTTCTTAGCTAAAAGGAGTGGCATCCGGTGTGGTCTTCTGCTGCTGTAGCCCATCTGCCTCAAAGTTCGACGTACTGTGCGTTCAGAGATGCTCTTCTGCCCACCTTGGTTGTAACGGGTGGTTATTTGAGTCACTGTTGCCCTTCTATCAGCTCGAACCAGTCAGGCCATTCTCCTCTGACCTCTGGCATCAACAAGGCATTTCCGCCCACAGAACTGCCGCTCACTGGATGTTTTTTCTTTTTCGGACCATTCTCTGTAAACCCTAGAGATGGTTGTGCGTGAAAATCCCAGTAGATCAGCAGTTTCTGAAATACTCAGACCAGCCCTTCTGGCACCAACAATCATGCCACGTTCAAAGTCACTCAAATCACCTTTCTTCCCCATACTGATGCTCGGTTTGAACTGCAGGAGATTGTCTTGACCATGTCTACATGCCTAAATGCACTGAGTTGCTGCCATGTGATTGGCTGCTTAGAAATTAAGTGTTAACGAGCAGTTGGACAGGTGTATCTAATAAAGTGGCCGGTGAGTGTATATTGTGCTTTGCACAACATTCAGTCATTTATACACTAATGATGGTAAGCTGCATTGTAGCCACAGCTGCCGTGGGGCTCACTGACCGAAGGCTGTCATACATGGGGGCCATGGGGCCCTCATCGGTTAACGGTGTGGGTGAAGTATCTTTCCCAAAGACACAACAACACTGAAAGCCACAGCTTCACTGGAAAAAATTGATATCTAGACAAGTCATTTGTTCTTGGATTGAGGAGATTAAAGAGACATTTTGCCAATGGAACAAGACAATTTACAGTTAGAATAAGAAAACACAATTACATTTTCTTATTTTAAGTGCATTCTATCTAATTATCTTATTTTAAGAGTAAAAACACTCATTCCATTGGTAAACTATGTCATTTACCTACTTTTAGAGTAAATACACTTAATGTAAGAAATTTTTACTTATTTCAAGACCTTTTTTCCAGTGTTTAACTGATAACCCTTTGGTTTCAGGGCATTCAGCGCCACTGTCGCAGCTATGAAACATTCAAGTCCAGAGAGCAGATTTAGGAGTTCTGGTTGAAAGAGATCCTTTTTAAAAATGGCAAGCTTGGGTGATTTAGTTTGGAGACTTCAGACACAGCCGATGGACTGGAAACCTGTCCAGGGTGTACCACCACTTCTCACCCATTGACTGCTGGAGATAGGCACCAGCACCCCTCACAACCCCGCTCGGGATAAGCGTGCTAGAAAATGGATGGATGGATGGATGGACTTCAGACCCACAGAACATTAACTTTTTTTTCCGGTTCCGGTTCTGTTTTCTACCCATGTATCTGTCTGTGAGCCTTGTCATGTAGAGAGCTCACCAGGCAGTGTCCCGCTTCTTTCCCGACACAGTGATAAATCGGCCTTGCATGGCTCAAGCTACTGAAAATAAGCAGTATGCGAGTCAGGTCTTCAATTCAAGGTTGTTGTTTTTTTATTGGGATTGGGAATATTAATATAACTCATTCATTTAGCAGATAATGACCAACATCAAATCAGACCAGCTCACCAGCCACCCATGGTGTATCTCATAATGAAAACACTTTGCCAGAGCGTCAGTGACTTCTTAACTTGTGTAGAAAGACGATTGTATTACTGATTGTATACTTTAGTAATGAATAAACATTTAAAGTTTAATTGATTTCTATGTGAATGCTCTCTTGTGTCTCTAATTGAAATGTAACTTTGGTTCTTCAGTAATCCAGTTTCTACTTTCCTTGTTTGCTGCATGTGCTGTTTTATAATTTACCACCAGATGGTAGATATGCACCACTCAGGGCATAGAGGGGAGGACACCATCCATAGATGAGTGTGCCACCTCCTCCTGCATGAATAGGCATACTGTGAGCTGGAGGTAGTGAGGGAAACATTGCATTTCATCCTGTGCTGCTTTGCTGCATGCATGGGACAGATTGTCATACCAGCCCAAAGGACACAGCTTAGGGGAGATAATGGTTCCTATTGAGTTTAAGGACCTGAAGAGAGTTTAGGTGCCCATGTTTGCACAAAAAGACAGACTCCAGCTTTAAAAAGGAGGCCTCCCTGATTGCTTGTCCTTGCTTGTTCCTAAATCAGGTCCAGCTTTTTATATTTACTACATTTTGCTTCTCAGCATGGGTTGCTCATCATCCAGTGCGCAGACTGTGGAACAGGAGAAAAGACCAGGCACAAAGCCTGAGGAGACCAAAGGAGATACAGTGGGTAAGTTTTAGTGATGATTGCGAGTTTATTTTTGTTCTTTTTAGTCTAGAGAAGAACATATCATGACTTCTCCAACTCTCTTTCTGCTGGTTATTCAAGTTTTAGCCTACGGGCTGTTTGCAGCCAGCTGGTGCAGAACACTGCATGCTTTCTTACTTTCACTCTCCTGCACGGCACAAACTCATCAGGTGCAGAAATATTTATGCTGTGTCTTGTTCTCATTCAGTCCTACAAGTCATCTCTGGCTTGTTTTAGTCCGGCCCTTTCAAGCATGGTTGCTGCTGAGAAGGAGGGTGATAAAAACATTTCATGTTTTATTGATGAAATGAGATCTGAGAAGAGTTCTCTTACATGTTGAGTTTTCTCAGTATCTTCCCATAAAACAAACAGAGCATTTTATGCAGGACAATAACCCCATGAGAGCAGCTCTTTGTGTTTAGAAATCTATTTGCAGCCTGATGCCAGATTTGAATTCCAACCTGTTTGTTTTCCTCTGTTCTGATTCAGGGACTTCAGATTATTGTAGAAAACAATACCAGCTAAAGAACCTCATTATTCAATACTGGATATAATATTTGTTTACCTTGGACTTTCTCACATATTGTCCCGCTCCACCCATCTCATTGCCCTGTGTTAATACTTTATAGAACAACCTTTTTGCAGGGGAAACCAACTAAAGTTCCAGCATCGAGATTTTTTTTTTACGCAAAATGGATTTAGCACAATTTGATATGATAGAGTTTTGAACAGTTTACTTACAGATTCTCCTTTGCATTTGGGTCTATACTTTGACCGGGCCATTCTTATACATAAATGTGATTTGAACATACCTCTTAGATTGTGTCTCCAGCTGTATTTCTAAGGCTTGTGTGATGCTGGAAGATGAACCCCTACCCTGATCTCAACTCATTTGCAGTATTTTTTTTGAGGATTCTTCAGTAGATCCATCAGTTTCCTCATCCACTCTGACCAGATTTTCGATTACTCGCTAAAGAAGAAGGGTGGACAGCATAAGGCTGTCGTGTTTCCCCCTGTAGTTTGTGTGTTAAGGATGTTTTTTTATTGTTAGTTTTTCTTGTCACACATATAAAAGTTAATTATTTTGGCCTTAATACAATTTCTGGCTCTGATCTGATAGAGAACCTTCTTAGCATGTCCCCTTCCTGGCTTGCAGCAAAGTGGAAATGACTAATCTTTCAACAATGGCTATGCCACACAGCTCAATAATAGTCATATCTGTGGAGGGTGTGATTCTGCCTTCTGAGCTGTGAATGTCTGCAGCTCCTCCAAAGTTACCACCAGCCTTTTAACTCCTTCTGTAAAGAATGGCTCCTCGGCATATATATATATATATATATATATATATATATATATATATATATATATATATATATATATATATATATATATATGTTCACGGCATGAAGTAGGCTGTGTGAACTAATTCTTACCTCTTATGACCCTCCCTTCACTCTTGTCTACAGTCAGTGTTGGGCACGTTACTTTGAAAAAGTAATTAGTTATAGTTACTAGTTACTTCTCCCAAAACGTAACTGAGTTACTAACTGAGTTACTCCACAATAAAAGTAACTAGTTACTAGTAAAAGTAACTATTGCGTTACTTTTGCGTTTCTCGCCCCCGTAACCCTCACCACCCTGCCCCCACCTTCTCGCCGTGTGTTTCCAAAGCCAGCTGAATAGAGTGGACGACAAAGACAAGAACCTGCAGAGAGTTTTGCATTTATTGCAACTCAACATAAATGACATCAGGGGGGAACGCGATGTGAAGTTTTATAACAGGACATTCAGATCTGGTGAGTATATGAAATTAATAACTGGGGATGTCTAATTCTGAAATACTGTGTACTGCAACATCTATCTATCTATCTATCTATCTATCTATCTATCTATCTATCTATCTATCTATCTATCTATCTATCTATCTATCTATCTATCTATCTATCTATCTATCTATCTATCTATCTAAATCTATACTCTGTGTGTGACATAAAATATGGATCTCCATCCCTGCCACAAAGGCCATCAAATAATGTTTAAAATAAAAAATACAGTAGGTTGAGAAGGCAGAGTATCCATCCATCCATCCATCCATCCATCCATCCATCCATCCATCCATCCATCCATCCATCCATCCATCCATCCATCCATCCATCCATCCATCCATCCATCCATCCAGATTTCTCCCTTTCTCCATATAGGCTATCATTTGATCGTTCACGCTCTCCATAGTTCTCCTGTGGCGCGAGCACAGGGCGACTGTTGCGCGCCTTTAGCGAGCATGCGCGTTTCCTGTCGCGTGTGCGGTGCGGAGATGCAGGGGAAACCGTATGTGATGGGGAAACGCAGCTCGACCTAACACCGGTATTTCCATGTGGAAAACGCTGTTTTGCTGCTGGAGTCATCCTCACTCTCCATCTCTCTGTGTGTGCTGTACGTTAACACCCACCAGCGGAGACACCCGCCTACCCAACTGACAGACGGAATCTCACTATACATCAGCCATTCTCATCCTCCCCTCTCTCATGACAAGGCGCGCACCTCTGGATGACCTAAAAATAATCTTTAATATCTCTTAAACAAAAGTAGCACAAACAATATTTTTTTCTGCACAAATCTTCACTAACGTTGCACTAACCATTCAGTCTATTTGCAGAGTTTTTTTTGACGTGGGTGGTGTGTCAGCTTCACGCAGCTGCGCACGAGTCTTATCATGAAAAAAGGTTCATTGTGCGACCTGAGTAACGCGCAGTAACGGGGTGTCTGCAATGGTAACTGCGTTATAGTTACAGCCAAAGTAATTAGTTAGATTACTCGTAACTAAAACAAGGTAACGGCGTTAGTAACGCCGTTACTTTCAGCACCGTTAGTCCCATCACTGTCTACAGTAGGGAGGAAACTGCTTTCTGTCATCCCCAATCTTAATTCCCTATATATATTAACTCCAGAGAACAGACTTAAAAGACTTCTAAACAATCACCCCTATTTAGGCAGAGGAAGGACACACTCAAAATATTTTATCTCACAAATAGGCCAAGTAAAAATATCCCTCCACATGCCCTATATAGTGGTTAGGGCAGATGTTCAGACACAGCCTAAGAGGAGAGACGATGAGGCAGAGTTGATGACAGCATTCTTACAGTAAAGCGCATCCTGGAATCAAAGGCTAAATGTTCCTGTAAATGTTGGTTAGAAGCAGCTGTAATATAAAGAAGCTGCTCACATAATCTGGACACCTGCAGACAGCTGCTGCCTTTATCAACACATGTTCTTTACTTTCTCAGTCTTATGCTGACTTTTATTTTTGAATGGTTTCTGTTTAGTTTTTTCCAGACAGCAATACTGGAAACAAACAGTCCTGCTGGTTTTTTTCTGGAACAGTGTAACACCTGTATAATGCTATGTCAAAGAATTTTAATTGCTTACAAAGCATTACCTTTCAGTTTTATATCTATTTTATACCAAGTTAAATGTCATCAATGTGAAAAACCGTAAAGTTCTAAAATATTTTATTTGCTTAATTGTTATTTTAATACAAACAGGACACGTAATCATCACCAGAATTATTATTGTAACTACATTGTCGACCACAAACACCAAAATGATGGAAGTTAGCATATAATGTAGTGATTAATTATTAAATCCAGTAATTAATAACACATTATTTGAAGTTCTAATAACAGGAAAATTTATTTTTTTAAATTTTAGATAATTAAAAGGCACTTTGACTATGCAGTGTTTAAGTTACTAACTCAGTTTCATTTTGGGAGAAATTACCATCCATCCATCCATCCATCCATCCATCCATCCATCCATCCATCCATCCATCCATCCATCCATCCATCCATCCATCCATCCATCCATCCATCCATCCATCCATCCATCCATCCATCCATCCATCCATCTCCCCAGTCACTTGGGCCAGCAGAGAAACATAGTTGCTCCAGTGTGTCCTGGGTCTCCCTCTGGGTCTCCTCCTGGTTGGATGTGAGACACCTCACCAGAGAGGCTTCCAGGAGGCATCCTAACCAGATGCCCGAGCCACCTCAGCTGACTTGACATTGAGAAACAGCGGCTCTACTCGGAGTCCTACCTGGAAGACTGAGCTCCCAGACACGCTACGGAGAAAACTCGATCACTTGTATCTGGGATCTCGTTCTTTCGGTCATGGCCCAAAGCTCATGACCATGGATGAGAGTATAGAACAACCATTAAATCCAGAGCTTTGCCTTTTGGCTCAGCTCTCTCTTCAGCACAACAGACTGATATAGTGTAGAGAAGTAATTAGTTACTATAATTAGTTACATTTTTAAAGTAACCCCAGTCTGCCTCAGCAGATGGCCGCTCACACTGAGCCTGGTTCTGCTGGAGGTTTCTTCCTGTTAAAAGGGAGTTTTTCCTCTCCGCTGTCGCTACAAGCATGCTTAGTGTGAGGGATTGTATTTGAGTCAATGAGTCGATGCAATCAGCTGGTTTTCCTTAGATAGAAAACTTTGAATCAATTTTACTGTATGATCTGGATGAACTTTAAAGTGCCTTGAGATGACATGTGTTGTGAATTTGACACTATATAAACAAACTGAATTGAAATGAACTTTGATCTTTATAGAGTTTGCAATTGTGTCACAATCTTTCCATTTTCAGATATAGAATGGAATTCCAATAAAGTAAAAAAAAAACAATCCACTGGACTTTGTTTTCCAAGTTTGAAGATGTTTCGCTTCCCATCCAGGAAGCTTTTTCAATTAAAAATGTCAGAATTAACGTTGAGTTCCAGGCTTTATAGAGTGGCCCAAACAAAGCCTTGTTTTGGCTTAGAAAACATGCAAATTGAACCAGAAGAACAGGTCCACCCCTTAGGAATAGGGAGTCGTTGAGGTCTTTGTTAGCCTGCATTACCCGATACTGGTCTATATCTCTGAAAGTCGGAGTCATAGGGTCATTGTTGGCCTGGCTGAGTAGTCTTGGTCCCCTGCATGGCC